AATAATGGATAATAAGAAAAATCAGCATCTACCAAAACTGAATCTGGTTTTTGATCATGCTTCGACTGATTCAACATTTTATTCTCAGAGTTGTAAGAAATTTCATCAGAAGTATGTGAATCATTATAACAAACTATATCTGGTACAATAACATGAGAAATCTGATAAGTTTGTTGATTAAAATTTTTTGTCCCACAATGATTCTGGGTTTCATTCAACTCTGGACTGTTATGTGACGTTGTACCACTTCTAGATAAAGATAACTGATCATTAGAATCATCCATCTTAGAATTACTTTCAGCGAAATGGACCATGGTATTACAAACTGACTGAATATGTCCAGTTATACCACATTTAAAGTATTTAGAATTACTAAATACACATGAATTACATGGATGAAACTTGTCGCAGAACAAGCATTTACTAAACTCGTGCTCATCTTCATGGACTGTTTCACGGTTCAATGAAGTATTATCTGAATAACTTTGATTACGCATCGAACTGCGACGACTTAGTAAAGTAGTGGAATTTCTGATCTTCTGTTGAGTCATTTTATCGGATTTTCCTCTCTTACCGCATTCGGAATTTGTATACTTTACATGACCCAACAGTAGTTGCTTGAGAGTTGCATAGGGGAGTGAAATCGGTTTGTCTGGAAGTGCCAAAATCTTTACAAAGCTGTATGCTCCTTTTCCGATGGATGTAAGGAAAATGAGCCACCATATTAAGATCTTCATCATCTTCCTTGGTCAAAGCCCAGATTTCGAAAGCCCAGATAACGTTATGAGTCATATTTCGATCTTGTCAATTATTCGCTTATTGACCTTGACTATTTTTTTTATATGAGCGTATGTGTATGCACACTTATTATCCTACCTATCACATGTCTGTCATTCATTTTTGTCTGACTATAAATGTTGATTAATGCTTGCTCATATCGAGTTGGCATCCCAGCCATCTCCACTATGCGTCATCTTTGCTTCCCTCACTTACACTTGCTCATGTGCCCACAGCTTTCTGGTCTGCATCGACTATCAATAAAAATATGGTTGCCGCTTCCTTTTGCCTTCTGATTTTATACACCGTTAAGATTGGTATAATAACGGTTATCGAAATGAACTATTATCGAAGCACGGCCCTACATAACTGGCGATCCCGACATACGAACGCGCAGAGAAATAGATAACTTCAACGCCACTACAGTATGAACTAGTAATCCCAGGAATAACGCAATTTAATCAAGAAGTACTAAAGGAGCACAAACGAATGTATTGTACTTGGAATTCAAAATTACAACAGTCATCAATACAAAGAAGTCATTGATTCATTCAAACATCACAGATTCTCTGCCCCGACTTGCTATTAAGCAGTCATCAGACCTCGGAAAACGTCATCGATGAACCTTTGGAAAGTCTGGGCAACATTTTTTGGACCGAAAGGCATTCGCACAAATTCGTAGAGTTCGAATGGAGTGATTATAGCAGTTTTGGAATATCGTCAGTAGCCATATTGATTTGGTTATAGATTTTAACCAAGTCGATTTTCGAAAAGACAGTTGTGCCTTACAAGGTAGCTGTCAAATCGTGAATGTGAGGCAACGGGTAACGATCGGGAATGGTTTTTGCATTCAAACGCCGATAATCACCAGTCGGTCGCCAATCGTTGCTGTCCTTTTTAAGGACCATATGCAAGGGAGATGCCCATGGGCTATTTAACTCTATCATGTGGTAAAATTTGTTTTCTGCCAACCTAAGCTTTTCGGCAGCCCGTTAGCCTGCTTGTAGGGCCATCACCTGACACCATTTAGATCGTATAAATAATGGTTGTCAAAATATATATCTTGTCTATCGTCGTATGCAATATATGACTTAATCCGCGTTGATGAATAACGGAATTAAATAGGTCAAATACGAGAATGAATTTTCGAATACATAGATTTTGTACACTGATTGATCTTGACAGGAAATCAAAGGGATGGAGCGAATAGGAGAAGGAGAATCGAAAATGACGCACATTGGAGATGACGAGTAAGCCAACTTACCTTAACCAAACGTCAATCGATATTTATAGTCGGATAAAAAATAAGTTACAGACATGTGGTGGATAGGAAAAGAAGTGTACACATACATACGCTCAAATATAAGATAGTCAGTGTTAATAAGTGAATAATTAACAAGGTCAAAAGGTGACTCATGATGGGTAGGTAAATTGGCTTGTCCAGAAGCTAGAATAAGGTATATGGGCTTAGCCTATCAACCGACAATATAAACTTTCGAGAATACAGGTGGTCCTGTAGTTGTGATGTGTAACACTACTGGTCACACACGGAAATTTCGGTTACGGTCGGTATATCCCAGAGTACTTATCGAATAATGGTTAATAGAATGGGTATGTTGTATGAGACTGGAGATAATCTACAACTGGAAAAATAAGTTACACAAACACATAAATATGTGTTTCCGTTTACTAGCTTCCGTTTGCGCGTATCAATGAGTAGGTTGTGGTGTTGTAAGAGGTCTATTCCAATGATTGGCATAGGAACATCTGCAACAACGAAGATCCAGTGAATGGGTTTACATAAACACACGTTAAGGTAAACACTGGCATCGCAGAATATCGACTTACCAGTCTACAGGTTAAGCATTTGAGAGCGAGATCGAAGGTCCTAGCCTTGCGTCCCACATGCGGGGTCGTGGATACGCAATGCTGAGGAGTCTCACGCTAGGACGACACAGCCACTCAGTGCTCCCAGGTATTTAATGGTGGTCTAGGACTGGTTGATTCGTGATCTTAACAAAACTTATTTCATTCTTTTGTTGCTGATTGATTACTCGATAGTGTAACATTTTGTGGTAGGAAAGCTGATTAAAAAGATAGGTAACCCTCATGATTAATTAGTACTTTAGTTTGGATCCTTATATCTTCTACACTCGAAACGTTCAGGGGCAAATATCGAGTTACGTTCTATTGGTCGATTTGTATTCACAGTTGGTAATATACATTGACTTTGTGCTTGTTTACAGGTATGCATAGTAGCTACAATGAAATTCCCATTATTTATAATTACATATTCGTGTGTTATAACCAAGTGTTTAGTAATAAAATATGCCTGGGAAGTGTTTGGATTATTAGGTGAACTTACTAATTGTCACTCAACAATCCTAATAGAGATATAACAGTTTAACTAAATGATCAAGAACAAGTAAATATAAACTACAATTTTGACACTACAAGACTGTGTAAAGGGAGTTAAGTGGATAAGGCTTTGAAATGTCAAACTAAACACTGAAAGTTTACTACCTTAACTGTTGTTTTAGTCACTATGACGACTTAGGACACAACAGGCTATCCCATTTCAATAGAGCACGTCATGATTATTAGATAACGATCCACTTTACATAAGAGTTGATTATAAACCTAGTCATATCCTTTTGCTCACCTACTAAACAAAATAAACACTCATGTAAATCAAATGTGCATGCACATATTTTCTTAGTTGGTCATCCATCATGACAAGAAAGTAACATGATACTTACATTCCACGGGACATATGCAATTATGTTGATTAACGCTAGTTTACGTTTTGACTTTTCCCTTGTCAATTATCACATGACATAATTGCCAATCAGAATACCAACTTCTATGACCTTGTTCCTGAGCATGAGGTTGTTATCCCGTGTGGAACATGACAATGAAATGACGCTGTAAACTGTTACCGCAGAATGCCAACGATTAATAAACTTAAAACAGGATACAGCTATGCCGAAAACTAAAAGTACGATGCCATCTAACCTTTCTATTCATGCTGTTAAGACAAAGTGAAGAAAAAATAATACTAAAAGAATGGTAAATCATATAACAGTGGCTAATAGGTCGAATGAAGGCTTATGATAAAAGAAATATATGTGTTACGTCTGGCCGATTGAACGCTATATTCGCTTCCCTAAGCTAGTTCCGTGACCCCTGAGCTAGAACTATACAGCGACTTGAAGACGAGAGAAAAGGCACAAAATGTGTGGGAAGCACTTTACTACAGGGTTCATGTATGTACAGAAAATATAGTTTTTATAGTATTTTAGAAGTCTTTGGGTTGTACTGAATATTCCAGAATACTACTCAACATAGTCGCAGTGTAGTTATCAGCCAATCAGAATCTCTACATGTGACTTTTCATTTTCGCTATTTTAGTAACATAACTTCTAATCAATCGCTGATTGGTTGAAATGCTCCTTGATGTTTCATGAGCTTGTCATGTCGATTGCGAGAAAATTGCAGGGTCATCCCAACAATATGTAATCTAAATTCACTTAGTATTGTTTGTTTGGATCTTAATATGTAATCTAGTTACTGAATATTTATACAATAGGAATATGTGTTTATAATAACAGTCTATAAATAGTTACTAGAAGTTACCCATAATTTAATCTTTTTCGAATGCAACAGTTTTGATCTCATATAGTTAAGATCATGAGTCAACTGAAACTAAACCACCGTGGAAAACCTGGAAGCACTGGACGGCCGTTTCGTCCTACTGTGGGACTCCTGAACAGTGCGCATCCACGATCCCGCCTCGCGGGACTCGAACCCAGGACCTACCAGTCTCGCGCCAGAGCACTTAACCGATAGACCACTAAGTTGTCATCCAGCGGTGCTAATGTCTAACCTCAACCAATCCACGAAATTTGATCTCACTTTATTGTTTGTCAGTTTGTTCTTTAACAAATTTAATATATAAATCTAATCATTGAAATAAACGATTTTTATGTTGTCAGTATACATCAACTCTACATTATAGAATTATCATATGAAATAAGTAACTTCAATTTTATTAAGATAAAATCGAATAGTTAATGGTATTTATTTTATTTATTTATTTATCAAAAAGGACTGAAAAATGAAGGATGGCTGTATATCAGTAATATTACTAAATACTGTCATATGATGATGATGTTATAGTGATTGATAATAATAACAAGTATAAAAATATTTTTAATTTAATATTAAGCACATTGATAAATCATGATAGATCTATCATCTCCTACAGATATAATATTATTTCCTTGAGGACTATAACGAGCGCACCATACCTATGAAAATTAAACAAGAATAAAATACAATACAATTCAATGACCAAAAAAAATAAACAAAATTCTACAAATTGCACAAGATCAAAGAGAAAAAGAAAACGATATTTGATAATCATTTTCATATTGTTTGCCGTTTAGCATTATAATATACAATAAAATCTACAGATTAATTTTCTTTTTGTTCTAACATATGAAGATGATAATGATGTTCAAAATGTAAGTCTTCAAGAAACTACCAATGTGATGAATATGATTGGAAGCTATTTGAAGGTAGTAGATAGATAAAACTAATGAGGTGATCACTGTTTGCCTAATAAAGTGTAGGCAAAACATTTGATTTTTTCCAAGGACTAACTTTTTCAACCAATCGAAATGAATGAAGCACATACAGAAATAATAGTGAATATTTCTGAATTGATAAATTGTTGAAATAGATAAATGTTTACTGGTAAATGCAGTGTAATAGTAAACTAACTTTATTGAAATTAATTTAATTTAATGGCGAATAAGCCTCTTAACTTGTAAATTAATAAATTAGAAATGTTAATGTACGCCAATGTGTTGGTATAAAAATATCAGAATATGAAGAAGAAGAAGAAGAAGAAGAAGAAGTATTTAACGTCAATCAGTTCTGACCAACGTACAGCTTGGCAAACATGTGCGCCATCTTAAATTGTCACACCGAATTAGTACAAAATACCAAACAAACCGAAATAATCTAGCAGTAATCATCTTGAGAATATGGTTCAAAAAACAGTAAAAAGTTATGCATACAAAAACATTGAAACTCAAGATCGAGAGGAAGGTAAAGAGTTAATCCATCTGTGGCCGTATGTCCGATTCTGAGCCATATCACTCAATGTCTTCAGTTACTGATTGCGACTATTGCAGGTACACTTTGTTTATGAGTGTCAATTAGCATGAAACCTAGGACCATGGTTACCTATTGACTTATTTCAACCATCTAAAATCAAAACATACTGCATCGGATGTTAAGTTACTTAGGCTCGTGACCACATTACAACATGGTCGGTACAATTTGATCAGTACTAAGGATGAAACGAACATGATACTAGTCACCACTTAATGGTTATTTAATGTAAATATACATGGTGTATATATTTGACAATTGGATTAATTATTATAATTCCATTGGTTATAACCAATATACATTGCCTGTTTGATTGTATGAATTTTGGTTTGCATTAATGGATTACATCAAATAGAGTCCGTGTTTATTTTACGTTAGTCTGCACATACAAGTACAGCTAATTTCTAAACCTTAATCTAATTTAGTAGCGATACAATGAAAAGTCAAATGAAATAGACTTACCTGATCTTCATGTGTATTAAAACAATGTTTTTCTTCTTTCGATGCTAGATCCCAGATTCGAACAGAACAATCAGTGGATGCTGTGACAAGATGTCGATTATCTGAAGCGAAGTCTACCGATACAACCCATCCTTTATGACCATTTAAACTAGGGATAACTAGTCGACCATCGCGTCTAAAATAATCAATAGATAATAGGGAAGTTCTGTAAAGGATCGAGATACACTTCTTAACTTAAATTGACTACACCCTTATACAGACTACATTGTGTGCATAATTAAATAAAAAATGACATATCTTTTGATGTTCGAATATACAAGAATGTAAACATTTTACCACTGATAGCTATAATGGGAATAAGTCTGATAATGATATTATCACAGAGACTAAAGACATGAACAGCAATAGTTGGAATTTGGAAAACATACAAATATTTCATTCCCAATCGACAAATCCAATTTACTGATAGATGTAAAGACAACATAAACATTTTGAAATGCCATTTCTCACACTTTTACAGGGCGACTCCCGACGTATGCATAACATGGTGGATATGATTAACTATGAAACGTAAACATTAAATATAATGTTGTATGAACAACTGGATCAAGGACTAAAAAGTATACACTACCGATTTAGACTTGGGTAACTGTGTACTACACAGTTAGCTAGCACTAATTAAGTATGGTGTATAAATATCTTCTATATTGTTATTTGTCAATTCTTTTTAACAAAACGAGGCTAGTATACTATTATATTTCTAAAATGATATGTACAAATATATCTATATGACTGAAACATAGTGAGAAAACCAAGAATACTGGAGAGATATAAACATAAACAATACGGAAACAAATTAATAAAGAAAAAATAGCGAGTAATAAATATTCTAAGGATTTGTAAAATATAAAGAATGGATGTATACGAGTTATTGTGATTGACTATAGATCATATAGAAAATTCTAATTAGGAAGCCTGGATCTTCAAATACGACTTAGACCAACAACTAATCACTTTATAGATCCATGGTATGTTTGTGTTAGGTCAACTGCAGATCATTTTTAATCTTAATTCTGATGTATTTAGAATAGAATGTGACAGATTACTTAATTTTCCTAATTAAAACAAGTTAATAGCCTCACCGACCGATTAAACCCAACTACATAAAGTTTACATCTGGAGAATAATTGTAAGTCAACCGATCAATTAATGCAACTCCTAGCTTTTTAGAAACCTGGTCTGATAATGTATTGACGATATCCTTTTCTGTGATACTTTCACCAACAAGTACTTTGAGTCTCTTGAGTAGGCCTAAATAATTTTACAACTATTATTTATCCCTGACATTACTTCTATTTAATTTACCTTAGCTGTCCATGAATACGTGGATTTAGATTATTTGTATTTAAGTTGCATTTGCTCTTCATAAGGCTCAAAGTGAGTCGAAATGCATTCCTGTGCAACTCTGATAAATGACTGCGATAGGCAACTACGCTGTGTTCATGTCCCAATATTTTTAATGAGACTATGCCAAGATACCTGTGAAGAACGTTAATCTTCTAAAAGAATGACATGAATGGTTGGAGTAGATAGCTCAAAACACATAACTAAAGCTGTCTAGTTAAGTTACGCCCACGAATATATACTACCTCAAGATGATGGAAAAGAAGTTGTGAACTTCGCAATTCACAACACATATTTGTTTGTTGACTTATAAATCAAATAGTACACTGGAAAGTTCAGCTAGTACTATAAAGAAATCAAATGAAAAGGGAACAGACTTTACCAGGAATTCAGAATAGACTAGTACTAAGTATGACAGTAAAAAAAAATTATGAAAAACTCACACATCAAAAACTTTAATTTGTTTATCATCAGATGCAGAAGCTAATAGACGTCCATCAGGTGAAAATGAGACTGAGCGTACCGGTGTGGCATGTCCATCCAAAAACTGAACACTCCCTGTTTCTAAATCACAAATGCTGACAAGCCCATTGATTGTTCCAGCAGCTAGCTTAGATCCGTCAGAGATCTTGTTTATATAAAGAAATTTATGTAAAGGAGTGAAATATTATCATCAATTTGTAACTGGTAAAGCTCAGTCATCTACAACGTAGATCCAAGCACATATATGCATTGGCTCATATTGCCATATCCCATTAGCACAATAAGATGAACACCAAAATCATAGAAGCAGTTACTTCAATGGTGGTAATATATGAAAATAAAGATTGCATATAAAGATATAGTAGAGGGAGAAAGAATTAGTTCGTAGAGAGAATTGGTAATGCTAAGTACAATATAACACTATAAATTAAAAAGGATAGTCTATTAACAAACTATGATAAGAATGTGAAAGAGATCATGAAAATATAATCAACAGTTTAATTGTAAGCATTTTTAGGCATTTAAAGAATCATAAACGTTTAGAGATCTATGAATTCAAGAAATAAGTTGTATTTTATGTTTAGTTGAAAAGATTTATATAGTTTAAATCTAAACTAAAGTTGACCGCTCATCTCAAATGTTCTGTAGATGCAACGAAACAGACCAATTCTTTTTTTTCTAAAGCGCAGATCTCAAGTGTAGCCACTGAGATAATCTTTGAAGTGTGGCATACAACATAAAGTAAGTCACCGGAAGCAGTTAACTTCCACACGTTTAAATACCTGAAATTTACCCAAACCATGAAGGAAAGTGACTTAAATTTTAAAGGGGACATAAAGCTATGAATTAGTGGTAGAGACTTTCTTAAAAAATACGACGGAAGGTTTAAATTTTCCCTCAAGTACATTTGATTTGACGTAACTGATGGTATGGCTAAACCTAAGATTTTAAAAAAGTTTAGCTTAAAATCTCCTATATCATATTGCAATTAAACAGAAATACACATAGAAACCCCTAAAAAATTAAATATAATCCTCAATATGAAGGAATTTCTAGTACTTTACTGATAAATTTGATAATTTGGAAATTTATACAGTGACATCAAGTACTTAATTCAACTGAAATGAATATCACTAGAAGGTTGATGAAGCTTACACATATGAGTACAACTGACAAACGTAATAACTAACATAATGTAAACTCAAAAATTTTAAAATGGTAAACAATAATGGTAGGATAAAGTAATTTTGTTTCTTTTACTATGTATAGTATTTTGCTGATAAGGTTCGACCAATTAACTTCATACATTTAACTAGACGACGTTGAAAACATTTAGCTGGTAGACATTTACAAATTTTGAACAATGTCGAAGCAAAAATAATTAATTGCAATATAATCCAATTAATTGTCTCTTAGTTGTGTTAACAATCATACTTTTGACAGTATAATTAATATGCTGTTTTCCCATCGAGATAGACATTTAAGTGGAGTATTAGAAACTTCTTTTTGTTCAGAAAAATAATTAACTGTAAGCAATAATAGAAAATTATTCTTCGATTAATTAAGCACAATACAACAGAAAAGGAAGCTTACATAAGCAAGGCTGTACACGAATTTCCCCTCTAATTGAATAGAACCCTCTTTCTGAGCAGTTTGTACATTGATCATATTTACACAACCAGTATGACTTCCAGTTGCTAGGAAACGCGAATCAGGAGAGAAAGCAACAGTCCAGGTATCAGCTGGATCACCATCATATGTTTTCGTTAATTTTCCTGTTTCCAGATCCCATAATAAAATCTGAAATATGTATAGAACATAACAAAAATTAACATCTTATACAGCACACGCCGAGACTTGAAATAGCCAGAAATAAATTAAGGTGTCTAATCAATAAACAACATTTATTATGATTAGTGCATTTTCCCAGCTTTGGAAACACATGGAAATCATAACTGCTTAGTGATAATGCGAAAAAATCCACTATGTGATCATGAAACGTCAATAAAATAGACAGGACACAATAAGAGAAAAACGAATACCAAATTGAAGGAAAACGAAGACAATAGGGCTGTTGGAAATTTCAATGAGGAAACAGAAGGTAAGGGGAAACAAATAGGAGTGAATACAAAGGTAGTAACAGACAAAATGTTATATCCACATCCCCTGTCACCACTACTGAAAAACGAGGAACTACTAAAATTCCCAAAGCGCGAAGTAAGAACACATAAAGGACTGGTACAGGTGGAGATTTAATCACTCCGAAACGCGACGACGCTGGTCAAAAGATACAATTACTTACATATCGATTTGTACACCCACTTGATTATCAATGCCCCCAAATGCCCTGGTACGGCCGAGAGTGGGGAGGGTCCGCTCTCCCTCTCAAAATGCTCTCACATGGCCACGCGTATATAGCCTCTACCAGAGAAGTTCTACTCACTACCTTCTCGTGGCGGGGGTGTTGTTTACGAAATTGTGAGGACGAAAAGCGAATGTCAGGCGCTTTAACCGGGTTGGTGGACACGGAAAGTCAACCTAGGGAAGTTGGAAAACCCTGATTCCAAAACTAATAGTGCACATGGGTTACAGTATCCTGAGGGAACAAATGGCGTATGGATCAATCGTTGGTCACCGGCTACCATGGGACTGCATCTCCTTCACGATGCTCCACTGCCTTGTGGATCATGTCTTTAAGTCGAAGGCTCGGGGTGTGGCCCCCTTAGAAAACCAGCTGTTTCGGTTTGGGCACACGGGCAGCATCACAGCCCTTCACACAAATCAACTAAGATTTGTGTGGCGCATATGTATCTGGTGCCCCTTTGTACCAATAGTTATGTGTTCAAGTAAATAAATAAATAAAATGATTATCAATTTAAAAGTCAAATATATGAAATAAAAACAAAATCACATGTTGCATGTTATGCTGAACGTCGTCGTAATTTAATACAAAGAATATCATAGTGGATAATAATAATAATAATAATAATAATAATAATAATAATAATAATAATAATAATAATACTGAAAATAAAACGAATATCGATCTCAGCAGTTATTACATTGAATTAAAAAAAGATGAGCTTTTGTCATTTTATCCCGTCTAATCAGAATAGTCTTCACATAATGAATGAAATCACACATATAGGGTAATAAAAAACTTAATATCCAACATACTGTCTCCTTATTCCGATTTATAACAAAACATTTACAACTGATTAGTCATGGAGTACTAACTAATGTCACGTATGTTAAGTCCGTCTTAGTATTGACCAAATGCTAGTGATCATGTTTCATTGTGGCCACTGGTTTAAGTGACTTGATATCGCATGCACTACGCTGAAATGTAAGACAGTTAGAGGTAGTCGACGGAAAACCGTGGACCTACGCTATGTGCAGTCCTGCACTCGTCGATCGATAGCACTCAGTCAGCATTAGGAAAGACTCAATATACGTGACACTGGTTACTATTTTGTGATCAATCAATTACAAATATCTGAGTCCTATAAGAGGTTAGCTGCAGCCAGAGAACATAAGTTCCCTCAGAATTACAAGTATAACCTACTAATGAGTGCAAAATATTACAAAACCCAGGTCTATAATTTCCTGTCTACTACCTCCAACTTACATCCAAACAAAATATGCATATTTTCATTTACTTAATAAAATTAAAATTTGACACAATAAGGCACTAAAATAAGGAAATAATATTGTGAACAAATCGAGAGACAAAAAAATACAATCAAAACGTAATTGAAGAAGAACGGTATACAATGGAAGATAAAGTTTATCAAGAAATACAACCAAGAATCTTCTAGTTAACAGAGTAAGTGAACAAAAGTTATCTGATGTGTTTAGTCACCTTTACTGTTGACAGTGGAATCCATCAGACTAATGTTATTTCAGGACGAAGAAAGAATGAACGGTGATTGCTAGAAATTACTTATGGACCATTATTACATATATTCTTACTGGATAATTATAAAGTAACCAGATCATATATATATATATATATATATATATATGATTATGCAAGAAGCTACCATTCAGGACTAACGAGGACTCAGATTTGACTCAAGGTTGCTAACGCTGGTTAACGAATCATTGGTTTGGCACAAGGACAAAGTAATACAAGTCGGTGTCCTGATTGGCGGTTTTATCACGTGATATTTGACAGGTTATAGGACATCACAACTTAATGTCTGAATGGTTGTGAAATATTCGGTTTAATCAATAATAAAATTTCTATCACATCATTTCGGCATATTATTGCTGGCGGGGTACAGTAAGTAGATCACAGTTCGACTTTCAAAAATGAAACGATGACAAGACTAATTTTCACATTTTTATTTATTTATTTACCATATCCTTAAGTGAAAGCAACGCTTTAATTGTGAAGGCGAATGATACTAACCAGTTGTTAAATCGAAGTAGATGAAGTAGGGCTTCAAACGGGCTCAGTGGCTGAAAGTCAAACGTCTTAAATACTAAACCACAGCTCCATATAGTCTGATGTTGGCATTTTTCATATTTTCTGATTGTTAATCTTACAAACAACTGGTATCATTCTACTTTGTATTGCCTTCTGGGGAGCGAAAAAATTGTTTCATAACCTTCTTATGTAGAGGAAGCCGACTACTTTTTTCTTTAGAAGACCTTCGTTATGTCAGAAAAAAATGGCGAGTAGCTCCAAAAACAACCTTTGATCTATATTTTGTATAACTATTAATAAAACACCAAAAATAATAGACAACTTACCTGGCTATCAAGACTGCTGGATGCTGCTAATGTACCTGTTGAATTTATGTCTACCGAAATCACACCCAATCTATGTCCTTCAAATTGATAAAGACATTTTAACTGACTATTGGTCCTAAAACAAGGAAATAGTGATAAACAGATGAACAGTAGTAGGATAAATAAAAATATGAAGAATTACAGAGTATTGTTGCTGAGTTCCTTATGCTTCGACTACTTCGGTGTAGGGGTTTAACAAATATTCACAGTGGGATTGGCTTTTATGTTAACCAACCAACTGAATATACTTTTACGTACTTTGCGTTGAGATACCTCGCAATTACCAATAAAAATTGAGAAAAGATTACGATTGAGTTTACTCTTATATATTCAAAATTAAAAAGCAACACAAATCAAAATCCCATAAAGTAGTTTAACATTAGATAAATTGTCTTAATTTATTACGCAGTTGTCCCACAGAATATATAAGAGAAACCGATTATTGCTTTCCAATCAGTCTTCCTAAAGTATGATATACGTGATCCTCATTTTTTTAATACTGAACATACGTATTTAACGTTTCTCCTACTTGGCTTTTTATAAACGAACGTACTGTTCTTGACAAAATGTGTGAGAGTGTTGAGTTATATTATTTTAGAGAGTATGTGATCCCTTTCACGAAAATATTTAATTTAGCACTTGTTGAACAACTTTAAAATTATTTTTGTATCACTTTGATTTCATGTGATTTTAAGAAGTTTACAGGAACAGTACCTTTTATGAGGGTGACCTGTATTACCATACCGTTAGAATATAAATATTAGGTCTGAATATAAAACTCAATCGCAGCGGAGACAAGATGTTTATATTTTAAATTATTGTAGGGAATCAGTTTTGATCAGATAATGGAAAAATTTTTGGGGAAGTTTACAAGAATACTTATAATAGACGGAAATAACAAACAATACGAAATTCGTACAAATATCTTAAAATTGAAAAGAGTGTGGTTTTATCAACTATAAAGTACTGAATCGTGTAAATGTAGAATATAATTCACAATATTACACATAAAGTACATCTAAGAGTGTAGTTAGGAATTTTATAACATCTGCTTTACTAGGATTACAAAACTACCTATCTACATAAGTTAGATGGAATGTCAAGGATCACTAAAACACAGAACTATCATTTGTAACGAAGTAACTAACCTACCAAGTACAGGTTTACGTACTCGGCTTTGAGCCACAACATTTCTGTGAAGCCTAATGACATCACTACTTGGCTGACCAAGCCGAAGTAGGTGGAGTGGAGTTCGAACTGGCAACTTAACCACCAAATTGCTGCTCAAATTGTAACAGTTTTGGATGTATATCTAAATAGTTCAATAACTGAGAATTGAAATATACGAGTAAGATTAAAGCTCCTAAACCATACATTTTGCACTGAGAAAAAGCTTTTAAGAATTACGCTATATTTAACTATACAGGAAAGCTAAAATTATTATTAGATCCTCGTCATAATTATCAGAGACTATCTTCACTCAACATCATACGAAAAATACAAGCTCTATAAATAGTCTATGTATCTAAGTTAGACCTCAGCAAATAATGCACTTACCACTCCCAAGCAATGAGGCCATTATCCAAAGAACCTGTAATAATGTACTGTTTATTTCTGTTCCGATTTTCACCCCATGTGCAGCACCATATTCCTTCTTTATGCGCTATAGTGAAATATGAAGAATACATGTAGTAGGCAACATACTTGTGTATAAGTGTAGTGATAACTATAAGTCTAAACTAACATTAGACTATGATAGTAGTTCCTGTTTAAAATACTCAGTAACATTAGGCACGTAAGGAGCTGAGGGTCAGTAAGACTTACTGATCAAGTACTAGTAATTTTGGTGGATTGTGACCTAAGCTCGTTGACTGAAGGATAGAAAATATACCTAAGGACCTAAACTGAAGTGCATAAAGTACCTGTAAATCCACTATTAGATGACCAGACCTTAAAATAAAAAGATATCACCTGAATTTTTATGATTCAATCCTCGGTTAGAGAAATACTGAGAACAGATGAACTAGTTGTAAGCATTAGGTAAGCTCTAATCCTGGTTAGAACTATTTACTATCGTATAGGCCCTCAATCTCAGATTCAAATTAGAGCATATAACACTGCTAGTCTTAAAATAATCAGTGTGTCACACATAGAGTACAATCCTTAGGATTTTATTTATTCTTTTTGTATGTATCGATTTAAGGATAGCATTTCTTTCGTTTGGCTTCCTAATTTATGGGTGGCATAATTTCGTTTAATGAATATGTTGATATGAAACATTCTCCTAGCTGTCTTGGGTAACAATCTAAGCTGGATTTGGATGGGTCGCCCTCCCTCCAACTGCAAAACTTCTCTACAAGACTCTTCTGCCAGTGCTTAGTTTCACTAAAAGGGAGTGAAATGGATAAAAGTGTTGACCATGTCATTTATCTTAAATCTCACTAGCCCTGGTAGATCAGCGGCTGACGAAACCCCATCGTGGATACGAACTCCATTAGCTTTTGACGAATCGCGTTACTTGTGGAGTAGGTTAAAGGACGAGTACTCTGGACAAAAATGTTCCGTAGTACTCTACAACTAAGAAATACGGATTTTGAAGGTACAAGACTCTCACAGGATATCTGTGTTTGATTACGGATATCTTTGAGGTTTGTTCGCGCATAGTGGAAGCTGTACACCTTTATTAACTGTATATGGGACGTGTTAATTATGTTTAATTATTGCTTATTCTGCCACCCCATACTAAAATACGAATGGAATTGGGAGATAAAGACATGGGATTAATACGTGATGTCACCAACTGCTAGTCTAAGTTATATCGGTAAATGCGAGCTTCTTAATTGGGGTTACCTCAAAAGCCTTAATTTCAGTTGGAAGGATTGGCACAAATAAGCGAAAATTAGTCCAAGTTGCATTTATTCTTGCTTTTCCTTTTAATCCCGAGCTTGACAATATTCACTAATTTCGTATTTACATTTTATGTCTAGCCATTTATAACAGTTAATGCTGTTTACTTCCCCCTGAGCTCATCATGTCGATTTTCACTTTCGCTACGCTGACATGAGAATGTGGAAACTTGGATCGACAAATTTCAGTGCATGTATTTTTAAGGTTTCGTTACCGAACAAGTTTCGAATGAAATAAGGAACGTAACGGATAAATTAGAGATGAGAGATATACAAGAACGAACTGAACGGGAAGATGATTTTTCTCAATGAACATCTATATAACCGATTGATTTAGACTACTACTACTACTACCATACATTTTACATATTTGCAATTCATGCTCCTTAAAGCGTTAGTAGCTCAAACAAAAGAATAAGGTTTTATATTATAAACTATTATTTTAAATAAATGACACGCAAAAGTTTATTAGGCCCTTAAAGGAATTATTAGCTTACCTTGTTTCTGTATACACTTAGTAGAATACTGTAAATAATAAAATATTATCAATTGTCAGAAATAATGTGCGCACAACATTGTGTCGAGAGACATTTAATGTCATCAGACGAAATAAACATGAAATGAGGAAAATATAAAATGCATGTGGTTTATCCAGTTGGTCAGCAGTCACACTCAAAGTAGAATCTCGGACAAAGGTCACACAACAGCAGGGAGAAATGAAATAATCACGACAAATATCAGAGTACAGTAGCGAAATATTATTAATAGCAAGAAAAATGAAGTACACAGAACAAAAGTTTAAGGTTTTGACACTTGGGATCTAAAGGGAAACGAAGATTGAGTGCACCTACGCCACCGAGACCGGTTTTGAGCTAGCTCACAAAACATATACAATCACTGGTTACGATAATTGTCCGGACCCCAACCGGGTAATATGCACTTATCAACACAGTTCAGTTCAATGGTCGGGTTTCGTGGATTAATACGTCTTAGTTCGGTCACCTGTAGCTTTCTTTCAACCTAATGCTACACCATAAAAACTTGTCAATCGATGCTCAAGCATACAAAATATATGCTCTAACCACCTCAGTCGATGAAGATCTACTACCTCATCAACCGACGTGTCATCGCTACCTAGCATCCTATGCTTAACTTTAGTATTGGTGATTCAGTGAACCTAACATAAGCTAGCATGCCTTCGAAAGGACGTATGGTGCATCTTATTACTTTGAGCAATGTTTCTCAGTTCACTTTGAATAACTTAACAGAAAATATGAGAACAGAACTAAGTGCGATCTAAGAATAAACCCGTTAGCCGAGATGGTTAGTAATATGAAAGAGAAAGCACATTATTGTAGGTAATAAGGCCGGCAAATTATAGAATTTGTGGTTGCATATTTTCAGACAAACACGGAGACCTTAAAGTGTGCAGTGTTAAATCAAAGATGGATCTGTGATTTCAGAGTTGATTTCCAGATAACGTGTATGTTTTTCATATTTATGAACATTGGGTAACAAAGTTTTACAAAAAGGTAACACATGGGTATATTTCAACGAGTATTTCTGAGTAAGCACTTTTAACGTGTTATTTCGCTTACCTTCCGTTAAATGTAGTGATAAATGTAAGAAGTTTCAGGCTTTTTGAAACTATAATTTACCGTTACTTGAAGATCGCAATTAAGCATTGTTTGCTAATAGTGCTGGTAAGTAGTAATTTCATTGATGTCAACTCATGGGAAGCGCTCCCAGTCTCCCGATTTCAGGGAGAATTTTCGTCAATTTGAAGAAAGCTGTAAAAGCATATTTGGGGAAATGGTACAAAACCCCAAAATCGGGAGACTGGGATATACGTGGAGTCAAAATAAAGTCCAGACACTTTTAGGAAATCTTGTGTTTACGACTATCCTGACTTAAAAAGTCACTCAATATCCTGATTTTGGACTATGTACGTAGCACCTTAACCGGGAAACTATATGGTTCATTAAATGAAACCAGAACCCGATAACTTTCCATGTTAAACAAAACCAGTCTACCTTTTCTGAGACACACAATCACTAACACGTTTGCACATGAATCGTTAAAGTCTGAAAAAGTAATGCGGAAAAGCGTATATCCAAAAGAGATCTTTGGGGATGAAGGATCGCAATCTCCCGATTTTGGGGAAATCCCGAAAGTCAAATGACAGTTGTCAGTTAACTGAGGAAAATTTTCCTCAAAGTTTGGGGAAATTCTGTAGAAAAACCCCAAAAGATCCATGTTGCGCAGTTTTCTGAACAAACATTTAATAACCAATGTACTGTCTAAGCCTTCTCATATATATATATATATATATATATATATATATATATATATATATATATATATATATATATATATATATGAGAATGTGTGGACAGATATCCTATTAGGGACAAAATTGCATTTACGTCGAATAATAAGGTAACCAATGGAGCTTAACAGTATTAATATAAATCAAAACCAATTAGGCAATCTAGCTGAAGTGAGAGGCTGATCTTCTAAAAGGGTAGTGCTTCAGTGGTATCGTCTATTGTGGAGGTTACAGAGCACTTGAAGGTCAAGGTGTCGTAAAACGATTGATGCGTCCACTCGACAATTCGTAAGGTTTTGCAAAAGCCGTAAAATTAAGACAATTTTGTATTTGATTGAGTTTAGCTGCACTATGTTTGATGGCTTCCATCCTTCAAGTACCGAGGGTAGTGCCATCGTAATAATGCACTGTAGCTGTAAATAAATCCTCAAAACCAATAGCTCTGTAAGTGTCCGACATTGAATGCTGACAAAATTAGTTTTAGTGGACTCATTTAGCGGAAGGCTATCAGTCTTGCATCCGTACCACATCACGTCTTATAACGGCGTGCGCAACATCTCCTGCGATCATTAGCCAGATTAGATCAGTCACTTCTCGATATATTGATAACCCATCAAATATATCTTCCAACCTCTTCGATTCTGACTTTTGATTTTATTGGGTGGGCGCGATTCGATTATAGGTGTTACTGGTAAAGTGTTGTCAAACTACAATGCTGGTGGTGTTCTCAGTATGATATGTGAAGAATCTTCAGTGACATTGTGGAGGATAGTGTAACGTCATCTGCTGTGTTAAACGCACATAGTTTATTCCAGCTTCCGGACAAGCCAATCCATTCATCCTTCTTAAACCACATTCTGACCTTGTCACTTACTGGCTTATTTATTCTGACTGTTTTTAGATGAGCGTGTGTGTGTGCACATCTCTTCCTACTCATCACATGTCTGTAACTTATTTTTTATCTGGCTATAAATATTAACATCTATTCGAGCCTTAATCAACTGATTAAGGCTAGAATAAATTGAGTCAGCTCACTTACCTTCTCCAATCCGCTTCGCTCTTCTTTCTTTGTTTCGTCTCTGCGATCTCCTGTTCAAATCAATGAGTGCATGAAGTATACATATGTGTATGGATTTTCAATATATTCACAATCCATCCTCTTATTTGGCTTGCATAATTCCCTTATTTACTAACGCGATTCAAGTCGATGATTATATATTAGGATTTGCCACATGTATATTTCGATACCGACCAACATGCGATCTAACTGGAGTCAGATATAGACTCACTAAAGTGGTGAGCGCCCCGACAACACCGTCCGATGTCGGATTACTAAAACACTATGCTACCGCGACGAATTAACAGTTAGAACAGCTTTAATACCTGCCTGAAAGAAGTACATAAGGTGATAGGACTCCCATGATTAATAGTTATTTGTGCAGTGTACGCGCACTAAGTATGTCATACCAGTGTGTAAAAAACACGATGATCCAACTCTAAAGTAGTTTTCCATCAGATCATTCCGTACAGCTGGATGTAAGCTCAGTGCATCGAAACCAGATGCCTGTCTTCTGGATGTAGATGATGACGGAAGAGGGCAAAAAGTTGGACGTAACGGTGCATGAAGAACTACTGGAAGGATTTAGAAATAAGAGTAAAATATTTAGACATAATGATCTGAAAGGATTATTGCCGATAATATTGGATGGATTGCTCCGCATTGTAGGTCACCTGAAGTACCCACAATTCCCAACTACTCTTAAACATCTGACAATTTTATCCAGATGATACTTAGCTACAGTAATGATGATGAGACACCATCATAGAGAAGGGCATAGATGAACGTCTGAAGTATTTGCCTTAAATTATAGAAACTATGGGATAGTTAAAGTGACCAGAACAGTTAAGAAAGAGGTGGGAAAATCGGCAACTTGTCGGTAGTTTACAACAAATACAGGACAATGGTTGTTGGCACCAATTCCACCTTGTAGTGTGTAGCAAGGCTGGTGTAGTTTTTCAACTGTACAGAGAGACTACATTCGACCTTTTGTAGTTAAGTAAGGAAAGCCACTTGAAAAAAGATATGGATGTATGTTTGCTTGTTTGCAGACATGAGCAGCGCATACTGAAATGACGTAAAGCTTAAATACTAATCTATTTATAATATTCTAGTTACGTTTTATGAGAAGAGGAGGCTCACAGAGAAATACAGAGACAACGGATCGAATTTTGTGGCTATGTTTTCAAAACTAAGGACATTTGCGCAACATTGAGATCAGAGGAAGATAGGCGAGGAATCGGGAACGAAGCATATTCAATGGCTAACAAAAAATACATTTTTCCTACTCATTGGGACATGGCGAAAATGTATTCATTATTAATATTCTGCTCAATACTCAGTTTATTTGAATCCATCAAGTCCAATCCCGGCATTATTACATGTCCATTGTCATTTCAATCCACCATTATCTGGTCATAAAATGAATTTCGGAAAAGGATGATTAGGTCCATACACTGGATGTTACTACTGATCACCAGAGAACAGGCTTTGACTGAGGAGACTGAAGCCACCTATATGGTTGAGGCTGAAAGGATTTTAAACAAACGACTCTAAACCCCAGTGATTCAAGACGCTGAAGATAAACTATTCTTTTCCCCTGATAGTTTGCCGTCTTCGAGGGAATGTGGCAGAATGTTCAAAGAAGTTAACGTCAGAAATGAGTATGGCAAACGTCAGCCGGATATCACAATTTCAGGAAGGGAGATGTAGTAATTATGACTTCAGATGTTTCAACTCGTGGAAAGTGGCCCTCAGGAGTAGTAGACGGTCGTGCGACAGATAAAGATGGAAAACTTAAGACAGTAACAATTCTTACGAAGAACGAAGAAGTTAAGAGAGATATACGCAAGTTATGTCCCCCTGAAGGATCTGAATATTCTCATGTCATTTCATTGCGGACCGGACGGGTAGCTGTACTACTATACGTCCTACTCGCCCCAACAGTATCAACAATATGGTAAGATGAATCATGAGTGAGGGTGTCGAAGTAGCCCAGTTTGGTACAGTACGATTTTGCAGTCCAGTGTAAAATTCTTTTTGGAAGTTTTTTGTATAAAAATCCCACCAAGTACCTGCTGTTGGGATCTATTCTTCTTGATTCCCTCGGATATATATTTCATTGATCTTTTGACTTGTTGAATTTGGCGATTCTCCTATATCCTTATCGATTTATCAACTTGGTGCAAATTACGTTTGACCGCTGGTCGGACAATTATTGGTCGAATAATTAAGTAGTAGCATATAGTTAGGTAATAACTCACTTTTGAGTTTACAACTAAATCTAAGACCGTCATTTACATAGTCACTTTTTTCGGTTTCGAATGAATGTTAGCACATATGTAAACTAATCTTAGCAATAATCCCTCGGTCCAAACGGACTTAGTTTGGAATCTGAACTAGTTCCATACCATCGTTCCAGTTTTGCGAATTAATCTTTCGTTTTCTATATTATTATGTGCCTTGCATATTATTGGTGAGGTTCTAGTACGGAACCACAACACATTATATACGTAATTATGTTTTCATGTGTGTTGTTGTCGTGCGTTTGTTGTAAATAATTATCATTGCTTGTCACATCCATATAGTCCTGCTGCGTCCAGAAGTGCTAAATGTACTTCTACATACGTTGCTCTCTTTTTGTTCGCCATAGCAACTGGTCATACAGTAGAACAGTACTCTACACATCGCGCAGGTGTAACCCTCTCTTATCTCAAAACACTATGAAGCACTTTTATCATCACTTAGTTAGCAAAGAGCGCCCAAAAGAACGTCAACATACTGAGTTAACACCATTTACATTATCCTGGAAAGAACATTCACTCGGGAGTCTACACAAAATAGGAAAGTAAATAAATGCTTGAGATTTCGACATCGCGAGGTGTTTTTGACTAGGTGACAGAGGTTCATAGGATTGTTTATTGGTGAATTCTCCATACTTTAATGGCAACGTAAGAAGTTTCAGTGCAGCTTTTACACCAGGCCAAATATATTGTGCTTGACCTTGGTCAAGATAATAGGATAAAATAGTGGAATTAGAAAACGATTAGTGAGAATATAATGGTAATAAATGGATAAATGTATTGTTGTCATACTCTTATTACGTTAACAACACCAGTCCCGACTTCACGCCATATTTAAAACCTTTAGTCAGGTCATTATTCACTTCTAGAATTCAGATGCAGGCGATGCAATGAAGAAAGCTATGTATATATCTGCAAAACGACCAGTATTTATTATCCTCGTCTTTAAGGTTTGTAATTAGCCAATGGTACTTATGCTAATTTCTTATCCCAAAT